AACGTTATGACATTTCCATTGTTATTTTGGTAAGTCAATTTCATATGGTTCAACCTAATATATTGGTGAAAAGAGTCCAAGGCAAACTTGGATTCAAATCCCAGCTTCAGTATGCATGATTCAGTATACAACACCTCAGTTGTGTAACCTTGGACAAATGTACTTAACTTCTCGCTGAGCCACAGGAGCCTCATCTGTAAAATGAGCACAAACATAGTCTGTACCTCAAGGTTATGGCTAAGATTAAATGGAATCATGCATGTAAGGGGGCTGGCACACTAGAATCCCAAAATAAATGGTGGCCATAATCGTGGGTGGTGGCTTTTTCCTTCTTTACTGTATTTTTCAAATTTCCTATAACATACTTTTAAACAATTCTAAAGCTAATAAACATAATTATTCAATTTTTTGTTTTCATTTTTGTTTTTTGAGATGGATTCTTGCTCTATCTCCTCGAGTGCAAGAGAAGCTTCTGTCTCTGGCTGGAGTGCAGTGGCACAATCTTGGCTAACTGCAACCTCTGCCTCCCGGGTTCAAGTAATTCTCCTGCCTCAGTCTCCTGAGTAGCTGGAATTACAGGCACCTACCACTATGCTCAGCTGATTTTTGTATTTTTAGTACATCTGGGGTTTCACCATGTTGGCCAGGCTGGTCTCCAACTTGTAACCTCAGGTGATCCACCTACCTTGGCTTCCCAAAGTGCTGGGATTACAGGCGTGAGCCACAGCACCTCAGCCAATTATTTAATTTTCAAAGGAATTGTGCTCTATTCCCTGAAGATCTTGAGTGGGGATCTTGAGGCTGTTCCTGGGAATGTGGTTGAGGGCTTTCTTCCAGCCCTGCTGCGGCTTGGGTTGGCTAGACAAAGTGACCTGAAAAGAGGGCTAGATGTTTTTGCTTGGTGGGACCCTGGGAGCTTTATTTACAGAGGACACTCTGTCCCACGGCCCAAACTACTCCCTCACTCCAGCATCTGCTGTACTCAGCCCCCTCAGAGGGGCTGCTTTGACCCATCCTGTTTCTCAAACCCTGGGGCACAGTGCTCAGTGTCCGCCTTGGTCATGACAGCCTTTGGCACTGTCCTCTTCATTTAGAAGCAGTTTCTGGGTCCTGAGCACAGAAACTGAGCTCAATTTTCATCATGTCCAATACCCAGGAGTGGGCTACAGAGTTTTGTTTTGTTTTTGAGACAGTCTTGCTCTGTCACCCAGGCTGGAGTGCAGTGGTGTGATCATGGCTCACTGCAATCTCTGCCTCCTGGACTCAAGCGATCCTTCCACCTTAGCCTCTTGAGTAGCTGGGACTACAGGCACACACCACCACAGCCAGTTAATTTTGATAATTTTTGCAAAGACGGGGTTTCACTGTGTTGTCCAGGCTGGGGCTACAGTTTCTGTTTAGGATGATGCAAAAGTTTTGGAAATAAATAGTGTAGGAAATATAGGGTACAAACTCAGTTATAAGAATAATTCTGGGGATCTAAGGTGCAGTATGTACGGTGATGGATGTGTTCCTTAATGTGATTGTGGGAATCATTATACAATGTACACAAATGTCAAATCATTCACACACTGAATGTATACAATCTCAAATATTTGTTAAAATAGTGGGGATAATTGCACAACATTGTGAATATAACTGAATGCAATTGATGACATGGTATTGTACACTTAGAAATGGTTAAAATGGATGGGGCATGGTGGCTCATACCTGTAATCCCAAAGCTTTGGGAGACAGAGACTGGAGGATTGCTTGAAGCCAGAAGTTGGAGACCAGCTTGGGCAGCAAAGCAAGCTTCTGTCTCTGTGAAAATAGAAAAAAAAAATTTGCTGGGTTTGGTGGTACGTTCCCATAGTCCCAGCTACTCAGGAGGCTGCAGCGGGAGGATCACGTGAGCCTAGGTGTTCAAAGCTGCAGTGAGCTTTGATTGTACCACTGCACTTGACCCTGAGTGACAATGACACCCTTGTCTCTAAAGAAAAAAAATGGTTAAAATGGCAAATTTTGTGTTGTTTAGATTTTATCACAATTTTTAAAAATTTATATTTTTTCTTTTCTTTTTAAAGGAGCAACCTTATTAACTGAACCACAATTTAAATGGGGGGAAAAAAAAGTCCAGAATGCACTAAAGGGAGAAAGTTTCATGAAATCACCTGGGACTGACTGAGCTACAAAAGGACATCTGGATTTAGGCCTGTTCCTATTCTTATGTGGCTCCATGACCTTGGATAACTTAAACTCCTCTGAGGCTCAGGTTTCTTTTCTGCAAAGTGGCCTGATATGATGCTGCCCTCAGAGAGTGTCATGAAGCTCAAATATGATCAAATGTGTGAGACTGCTTTGTTAAAAAAAAAAAAATGAATAATTGTTCATCAGCATTGTCCTGCCACCACCACCACAAAAAATTAAAAAAGAAAAGAAAGCCGGACACAGTGGCTCACGCCTGTAATCCCAGCACTTTGGGAGGCCAAGGCGGGCAGATCGATCACCTGAGGTCAGGAGTTCAAGACCAGCCTGACCAACATGGAGAAATCCCATCTTTACTAAAAATACAAAAAATAGTCGGGTGTGATGGCCCATGCCTGTAATCCCATCTACTTGGGAGGGTGAGGCAGGAGAATCACTTAAACCCAAGAGGCAGAGGTTGTCATGAGCCAAGATGACACCATTGCACTCCAGCCTGGGCAGCAAGAACGAAACTTCATTTCAAAAAAAAAGAGAAAGCCTTATAAACAATATACCAGAGTACATTGTTTTTTGCTCTGAGGATGCCTGAAATGCCACATTAAGGCGTTTGATGGGAACCTCCAGAAATAAGGAAGGGAAGAGGGGGACACGAAAGGAATCTCTCAGTCTCTTACTCCTCACCCTAAATTAGATGTTATATTTTCTCTTGTATTGGCTATTTCTTTTTTTTTTTTTTTTAATTTCTAAAATTCAACCAGAGACTACTTAGAACTGAGTTGGCTTTTGTGGGACCTGCAGGGAGGTGGCAGTGAGACTCAAGGTGTCAGAGGAGCGAAGGAGCAGGGACTGGGGAAGGGTGGGGTGTCAAGGAAGCGCCCCCACATCACAATTTTGCCCCAGTGCTGGGGAGAAGAGAAATGTCCTTAGCTTGTCTCCTCCTCTCCCTCTCTGCCTCCTCCCTCTGCCCTCATCTTTCTCCTGGGAGATTTATTTCTGTCCCTTTTTTCATCTAAAGCAACGGAAATGAATCATCTTTCAGCCTGTTTAATAAACAGCCCTATGCCTCCTGACCCCAGCTGACTCTCACTGGCTCCTCTGTGGCTGCTCCTGGGCTAGGTCTCACCCCGTCAAAGGCAAGACCCCTCATGGCTAGCTATTCTTGGTAATGTTCTCCACCCTCCCTTCCCGCTCAGTCCTGGCAGCTTGACCTCCTCCCACCCCAGGGATGACGAATCACACACAGCATTCCAAGCGACAATCCCACGAGCTTACCGGAGGGGCAGGGGAAGCAAGGGGGCCACCATGTTTGGAGGGTTTTTTATGCCATCTCAATGACCCTATTATTGGATCTCAAAATCTGCATTTTACAGTTGAGTATTCTGAGGCTCAGAGAAGTGAAAGAACTTGCCCAAGGACGAACGGTTGGGAAATGTGGAAATCAAGGAGTCAACATTTAAAGCCTGATTTTCTGGATTCCTGAATTCATTCCATTACACCACATTGCTGTGCCTGTGTGTGCACGTGAGTGCTATCACCCGCATGTGTGTTGAATAGGGATGTAGGCAGGTCAGCTAGAACATCAGCTGCGATTCACCAGGATGGAAACCTGATTTTATCTTGAAGGTTAACACCTGTCTATCATATGCATACGACTTAATGCATCATATGCATGTGTGCATTAAGCCATCTGCATATGATAGACAGCTATTAACCTACAGAGGAGATGGCAAATATGTACAGTATGTATTTCACCAGGAGGCCCGTGAGTCACTGAAGATGATGTCAGGGAATAACAAAGATAGGAGAGCAGGAAAGAGGATTAATGAAATACCCAGATTTAAGAACACCCATATCTTACCTTCACCTCACGGTGATGGAACTTCACAGGTTAAAGTGCATGGCTGTGTCCACCTTGGTGAAACCACACTTTTCTGGTGAACAAAACATGCAATTATTAGTTGGACTTCTAAAAATGTGCAGGTACCATTTCTAGGAGCAATATGGAATACAGGAATAAAACTGCAAACGCCAAACTCCCTGGTGTGGCGATGTGTGTCTGGGGTCAGAGAGTGGAATTAATATAAGTATATAAATAACCATGAAGCAAGGTAGATGGAAAGTGCTCAGGGCCAAAAGAAGTGGACACATACCACAGCAGTATTCTAGGAGGCCCAGAGGCTGCAGAGATTACTCCAGGTAGGGTAACATGGAGGGTTTCCTGGGGAGATGGTATTTGCATATAGCTACGTCTCCAAATAGATTTTAAGATCTTACATCAACAGCATGGTTTAAGAGAAGTTAGATTCGGGTTAATTTTCCAAGAAGCCTTGAGATGCAGACCTATGCCCTTGTTCCTCTTTCAGAGACATGGAGACTGAGACCCAGAGAGGTCAATTAGATTGTCCACAGCCTCGCAGCTAGCAAGTAAGGGGTTACGATTTGATCTTGGGCCAGTGTGTTAGACTCCAAGTTGCGTGCTCCTGTCTCTCCCCGCGCGTTGTCGGCGGAGCCCGGGACCTGCCTGGACTGGCCGAGGGAGGGGCGGACAGTCCGGGCGAGTGGGGCGGGGCTGGCGGTCGCCCGGGCCTGACTGAGGCACCGCGGACCGGTCCGTCTCCACCTGCCGGGCGGAGCGCACGGGCCATGGGCTGAGACCCGCTTAGCCCGCCGGGCCGGCCATGGGCGATCGCGAGCGCAACAAGAAGCGGCTGCTGGAGCTGCTGCAGGCGGCGGGCACCGGCAACTCACACTGCGCCGACTGCGGGGCGGCGGGTAAGAGCGCGGCGGCGCGGGCGGCGCAGGACCCCCGGCCCTCCGGACTCCTCCCCTCGGCCCCCGCTGGACCCACACTTCGGACTTGCGGGCCCGGATACCTCCCACGCACACCGTGAACCTCCCACCTGAGCCCTGACAGCTCTCTCGGCTCTCGGCCCCGGTCCCTCAGAGCCCAACCCCTACTCTCCACGCGGGACCGGCACGGATCTTCCCACGTGCTTGGACCCCGACACGAGAACCGGCAGCCGGGAGCCCTGCCCGTCTCGCTGTTTTCCCTGGCCGGCACCCGACTGCCAGTGTCTGTCACCCAGGCGCTCCCCAAGCCCTCGGACTCAGACATCCCACACAGCTAGGACCAGACCTCGCGCCCAGGCCCCCGACCGTCGCATGTCCTCTGCCCGCTTCCGGAAGCCCCCGAAGGCCCCCCCAGCGCCCCACCCCGCGGTCGCCGAGAGCCCCGTGACTCAGCCTCCCCACCTGCAGCTCCCCGCCGAGCCCCGTGGTGCGCCCCCCCCGCACCCTCCTCTCGGTTCCCTCTGAGTCCGGTCACTTCCACATCGCGCCGCCTCAGACTCTTCTCCCGGACCCTGGACTCCCTCCAGGATCTTCATCCCGGTCGCTGTGCAGCGGCCGGTGGGCTAACCAGAAGGTGTCAGGCTGGCCGTTTAGTTCGCCCTAGTTGGGAGAAGGGGCGCCCCGCCTGCCCCAGCGCCCCCAGTCCAGCCCTGGTTTCTTCGCCGCGCTTTCGGCTCAGTTCCTCTCCTTTCTCTCCCGCTGCAGATCCCGACTGGGCCTCTTACAAGCTGGGGGTCTTCATCTGTCTCAACTGCTGCGGTGTCCACCGTAACTTCCCTGACATCAGCAAAGTTAAATCCGTGCGACTTGACTTCTGGGACGACAGTATTGTGGAGGTAGAAAGGAATGAGCATGGAGAGCCGTGGAACCGCGGAGCTGGGGTGGAGGCAGTGGGCAGGTGGCTCCCATTCTACAGACGGGGAAACGAGGCCCAGAAACGGGCAAGTCTTGCCAGAGGAAACACAGCCTGTAAGATAGCAGCTTAGACAGAGGCACTGAGTTCAAATTCTGACTCCATCATTTGCTTACTTTTTTTTTTTTTTTTTTTTTTTTTTTGGAGACAGCATCTTACTGTGTTGTCCAGGCTGGAGTGCAGTGGAGCAATCTCGGCTCACTGTAACCGCTGTCGCTGTCTTCGGGGTTCAAGTGATTCTCCTGCCTCAGCTTCTCAAGCAGCTGGGATTATAGGCGCCTGCCACCGCACCTGTCTAATTTTTTATATTTAGTAGAGACCGGGCTTCACCATGTTTGTCATGCTGGTCTCGAATTCTGACCTCAGGTGATCCACCTGCCCCGGCCTCCCAAAGTACTGGGATTACAGCTGTGAGCCACCGTGCCTGGCTACCACCACCAATTTCACAGCACTGCTGTGAAGATTAATGTAGGCTCAGTCCAGACACAAAGAAAGTAGTCAGTCAACAATTGCTATTGGACGGGTGTGGTGGCTCACACCTGTAATCCCAGCACTTTGGGAGGCTGAGGCTGGTGGATCGATTGCTTGGGCCCAGGAGTTCAAGAGCAGCCTGGGCAACATGGTGAAACCTCGTCTTTACAAAAAATACAAAAGTTAGCTGGATGTGGTGGCATGCACCTTTCATCCCAGATACTTGGGAGGTTGGGGTGGGAAGATCACCTGAGCCTGTGAGGTTCTGGCTGCAGTAAGCCAAGATTGCAGCACTGCACTCCAGCCTGGGTGACAGAGTGAGATTCTGCCTCAAAAAAAAAAAAAAAAAGTTGCTGTTATCATTAGTGAAGCCTTGGACTGGAGGAAGGGAAATAACCTGATTCATGATCTTAAAGTCCTCCTCATTTCCCCCTAGGCAGAAAGAGGACCACTTTGCTCTCCTGCCCTCTGGGTGTGGAGGATACCCTCAGCCTTCATGGCAATTCCATTTTGATCAGAAAACCTACAGAGAGCAGGCAGTTCTGAACTGTTTGGGTTGACTGAGGGTGTCCAGGACTACTGGGGAAGCAGGCTGACATTTACTGATTGCCCACTCTGTGCCAGGTACTGTGCTAGACAGCACTGGGCTGGAGGCTTTAGTGTCGCCTTACTATGTGCTGGGTCTTGGGAGAGAACAATGAACAAGATAAAGCCCCTGCCCATACAGAGCTTCTACTGCAGGAGAAAGGGTAGAGACCAGTAAACCAGCACATAAACCTGAAGGATTTTACTTGCACCTTATAACTCCCCTGTTCTATTTTCTTTTCTTTTCTTTCGAGATGGAGTTTCGCGCTTGTTGCCCAGGCTGGAGTGCAATGGCATGATCTTGGCTCACTGCAGCCTCCACCTCCCAGGTTCAAGTGATTCTCGTGCCTCAGCCTCCTGAGTATCTGGGATTACAGGCATGCGCCACCACTCCGGCTAATTTTATAGTTTTAGTAGAGATGGGGTTTCACCATGTTGGTCAGGCTAGTCTCGAACTCCTGACCTTAGTGATCTGCCCACCTCTACCTCCCAAAGTGCTGCGATTACAGGTGTGAGCCACGGCTTTGTTTTTTGAGATGAAGACTCACTCTGTCACCCAAGCTGGAGTGCAGTGGTGTGATCTCTGCTTACTGCAACCTCTACCTCCTGGGTTCAAGTGATTCTCCTGCCTCAGCCACCTGAGTAGCTGGGATTACAGGCACCCACCACCATGCCTGGCTAATTTTTTGTGTTTTTAGTAGAGATAGGGTTTCGCCATGTTGGCCAGGCTGGTCTCGAACTCCTGATCTGAGGTGATCCACCCACCTCCACCTCCTGAAGTGCTGGGATTACAGGTGTGAGCCACTGTGTCCAGCCCCCTGTTATATTCTCTTCATTTTTTTTTTTTAAGACAGGGTTTCACCATGTCGGTCAGGCTGGTCTTGAACTCCCGACCTCAGGTGATCCACCTGCCTTGGCCTCCAAAGTGCTTGGATTACAGGCGTGGGCCACCAAGTCTGGCCCATTGTTTTTTTTTTTTTTCTTTTTTTTTTTTTTTTGAGACAGAGTCTTACTCCCTCTGTTACCCAGGTTTGAGTGCAGTGGCACGATCTTGGCTCACTGCAACCTCCACCTCCCAGGTTCAAGCAATTCTTGTGCCTTAGCCTCCTGAGTAGCTAGAATTACAGGTGTGCACCACCACACCGGGCTAATTTTTTTTTTTTTTTTGAGACAGAGTCTTGCTCTGTTGCCCAGGCTGGAGGGCAGTGGCATGATCTCTGCTCATTGCAACCTCTGCCTCCCAATCGTTCAGGCAATTCTCCTGCCTCAGCCTCCCATGTAGCTGGGATTACAGGTGCCCACCACCATGCCTGGCTAATTTTTGTATTTTTTAAGTAGAGACAAAGTTTCACAATGTTGGCCAGGCTGGTCTCTAACTGCTGACCTCAAGCGATCCCCTGCCATTGGCCTCCCATAGTGCTGGGATTATAGGCTTGAGCCACCATGCCTGGCAATTTTCTTCATTTTTACAGGTGAGATTCCAAGAGTCACTCATCAAATAAATAGCAGGCAAGATCTGAATCCTGCTCTGTTGGGATTCAAAGCTGGTGACACAGCCTAGAGGCCCCTGCAGAGGAGAAGAGTAGGATTCACTCTACACCAGTAACAACCTGGTGTGTCTTCCCACTTCTGCCCTCACCCTAGCTATGCCACTGCTGCCAGGGCCACTTTTGGTGCATCAGCCTCTGGGTCTCCTGAGTGCCAAAGGGCCCTACTAACCATCCTGACCTATGCACTCCATGAGGCAAGCACCCACTTTTTCCATCCTCCAGGTATATTTGTCTCCTGCAGACTTTCAGGGCTGCTGGGGGTCCTGGCCATCTGTGCAAGGCATGATAGGAAGAATATGAGCCTTGGAGTCAGGTCTAGGTTCAAATCCCAGTTCTTCACTTACAGCTTTGTTTCCTTGAACAAGTCATCTAACCTCTGAACCTCAGTTGACACAACTGTAAAATGAGTACAGTGATGTGACAATGGCTGAGCTGATGTGTGAGCATTGTGTTGTCCTGTGCCCATATGAGGCATGATTATATCTGCCTATGATTGTTGCAGGCTGGGACTCCCCAGCTGTATGCACGACCAAGCCTGGTGGGACATCTCCTTCTTGGAGGCAGTTTCTTCTGACTCAGCCTAAGTCAGTGGCCTCATAGTTTAATTTCATGTTTCTTCAAGTTCTAATATTACCCCAAATTGCTGTTGTCTTGCAGTTTATGACCCGCAATGGGAACCTCCATGTGAAGGCCAAGTTCGAAGCCAGAGTCCCAGCTTTCTACTACATCCCCCAGGCCAATGACTGCCTGTGAGTGAATGATTCCTTAGGGACTGGGTGAGGGGGTTGTCCTGGTTCCACCTCCTCCACTCTCCATCTTTGGCCTTCGTCTGTGGTGGTCACTGTGATGGGCCTGGTGTGCAGGTAGATCCAGGAAAGCACTGGATATCATCACAGAGAGCACATGGGAGGACTGGTGTAAGACTTTTTCTGCCTCTATTGCTTAAGTGTGCCTCTTCCTTTCTCTGGGCCTCAGTTTCCACAGCCCTGAAATGGAGATTTTTTCTCTATGATCTCTGCCTCTCTATGATCTCTATGATTTTTCTCTATGATCTCTGACTGTGACAGTCTTGTAGCTTACAGATGGTGGATAACTTGATAGAGGGGATAAACACTGGTATCTTACTAGACCAAATGTGTTTCAGCTACTTCCTTTAGAGAGATATGTCTAGGGTTCTGCCACCTGAGCTCAGGTTGGCTCTAAGCAATTGAGCTGCAGATCTCTAAATAATAACCATAAAAATAAGAATAACAGCCAGGCACAATGGCTGGTCCCTGTAATCCCAGCACTTTAGGAGGCTGAGGTAAGAGGATCACTTGAAGACAGGGGTTCAATGCCAGCCTGAGCAGCATAGCAAGACCCTGTCTTTATAAAAAATTAAATTAAATTAACTTAGCCAGGGCATAGTAGCCTGTGCTTATAGTCTGAGCTACTAGGAAGGCTGAGGTAGGGGAATCACTTGAGTCAGATTGCAGTGAGCTAGGATTGCATGTGTCACTGCACTCTGCTCTGGTATGAGTGACAGAGTGAGACCTTGCCACAAAATATATATATATATAATATATATGTAAGATATAAAAATATATATTATATAATATATATTTATAATATGTATAAATATATTACATATATATATATATATATTTATTTATTTATTTATTTATTTTTTTTGAGACGGAGTTTCACTCTTGTTACCCAGGCTGGAGTGCAACGGCATGATCTCTGCTCACCACAACCTCCACCTCCTGGGTTCAGACAATTCTCCTGCCTCAGCCTCCTGAGTAGCTGGGATTACAGGCACGCACCACCACGCCCAGCTAATTTTTTGTATTTTTAGTAGAGATGGGGTTTCACCATGTTAACCAGGATGGTCTTGATCTGTTGACCTCGTGATCCACCTGCCTCAGCCTCCCAAAGTGCTGGGATTACAGGCTTGAGCCACCACGCCTGGCCTATTTATATATTTTTAAAATATATTTATATATATGTATTTTGTGGCAAGGTCTCACTCTGTCACTCATGGTAACCAGTAGTTACCATATATATATATATATACACACATATATATGGTAACTACTGGCTGGGCATGGTGGCTTATGCCTGTAATCCTATCACTTTGGGAGGCTGAGGCAGGTGGATCACTCCAGGTCAGGAGTTCAAGACCAACCTGGCCAACACAGTGAAACTCTGTCTCTACTAAAAAGAAAAAAATTAGCCAGGTGTGGTGGCTTATGCCTGTAGTTCCAGCTACTCAGGAGGCTGGGGCAAGAGAATTGCTTGAACCCGGAGGCCAAGGGTGCACTGAGCCAAGATTGCACCACTGCACTCCAGCCTCAGTGACAGAATGAGACTCTGTCTCCAAAAAAAAAGTAGCTACTAATATTATTGAGCTTTGCTCAAGTACTAGGCCCTGTGAAAATGCTTACGTGCATGTATCTGTTTAATTCTCTCAACAACCCTACAAGTACTCTATTATCCCTATGCTACAGATGAAAAACCTGAGGTTTGTGGAGGCAGAACTGGTCTAGCCTGTCTGGCACCGGGGCCTGGGTGTCTGTATCATGGCAATGGGAGAATTCAGTGTAAGAGCAGGGCTTTGAAGCAGCAGGAGGGTTCAGGTCCCCTGGAGGTGAGGGTTAGTGTGATACTGGTACCTAGTGGCCCTGGACCTCTGCAGATCTGACAGCCTGAGCTGCAGCTCCTTCCCAGGTACTTGGACTGGCCATCCGGGCTGCTAGACAATGTCTTGTGTAAATGCGGAGAAGGTATCCCGTTAGGCTGACACAGCCTTATGGGGGTATGCCTGGCAAACAGAAAGCAGCTCCATTTCAGCTGCTGAGCCTCAGCAAGGTGCTTCTGGGCAGTGCACAGACTATATAACTGTACCTAGTGGTCCTGTAATTTCTCAGTGCTTAGACAATTAAGGGCTATTCATGGTCTGTGGAGTGGCTGGGGAAGCACAGCTTTCTACTTGGAAGACCTCCGTTTTCTTTCCCAACTCTACCATCACCTAGCTGTGAGGACATGGACAAGTTAGCAAATCTCTCTGTCAGCATTATCATCTCTGAAATGTGGACAAGGATGCCCGCATCATCGCATAGTTGTAGAGATTACATGAGATAACTTAGGTAGAACCTTTCACATGCCACCCGACACACTGCCTTGAATCCATTTCACCGTGTCTGCTTCAGAATCTACCTGTCCGTGGCCAGTTGTGGGGTGTGCTGGCTCAACTTAAGAGGGCCTGTCTTATCCTGGCTAGCTGATGCCACTCTACCCTTTGCTCTAAGCGCTCCGTAAGTAGCTGCTCTGTGCTAGGCTTCTTGCTGGCACTACACAGACTCCAGCAGCAGCCCTGCACTTTAACCCTTTTTAGCCGAGTACTAATGACCACCTCCAGGACCAAGACTGGTGGCCCTTGGTCTCCACTTGTTCTCCCAGCTCTGATCCTGGGTCTCAGGCTTTCCACCTTCATGGTGGGCCAGGTGATTCTCCTCAATGATCTGTGGGCTGTGCACTAGGAAGGACTCTCTCTCTCTCTGTTTTTTAAAATACAGAGATAAGGTTTCACTCTGTCACCGAGGCTGGAGTTCAGTGGCACAATCATGGCTCACTGCAGCCCTGACTTCCTCGGCTCAAGTGATCCTCCCACCTCAGCCTCCCAAGTAGCTGGGACTACAGGTGTGTGCCATCATGTGTGGTTAATTTTTGTTAACCTAGTAATTTTGTACTTTAAGAAAAATCTTTTTTGTAGAGATGAGGTTTTGTCATGTTGCCCAGGCTTCTCTCAAACTCTTGAGCTGAGCTCAAGCCATCTGCCTGTCTTAGCCTGTCTTGGCCTCCCAAAGTGCTGGGATTACAGGCATGAGTTACCATGCCCAGCCTGGACTCTTGATTATAAGTGACAGAAACCCTATTCATTTATTTTTGAGACAGAGTCTTGCTTTTTCACCCAGGCTGGAATACAGGGGCACAATCTCAGCTCACTGCAACTTCTGCCTCCTGGGTTCAAGTAATTCTCCTGTTTCAGCCTCCTGAGTAGCTGGGATTACAGGCGCATGCCACCACGCCCAGCTAATTTTTGCATTTTTGGTAGAGATGGAGTTTCACTTTGTTGGCCAGCCTGATCTCAAACTCCCGACCTCAAGTGATTTGTCTGCCTTGGCCTCCCAAAGTGCTGGGATTACACGTGTGAGCCACCGCGCCTGGCCAGAAACCCAATTTAAACCAGCCTAGGAAAAAGAGGATTTGATGGGTTCTGAGGATCAGACTCCCAGAAGGACAGTGGTGGAGCCGGCCTCAGGAAGGACCAAGCCAGGAGCTCAAACACCATCAGGTCTTGGCTGGGCACGGTGGCTCACGCCTATAATCCCAGCACTTAGGGAGGCCGAGGCGGGTGGATCACAAGATCAAGAGATCGAGACCATCCTGGTCAACGTGGTGAAACCCTGTCTCTACTAAAAATACAAAAATTAGCTGGGCATGGTGGTGTGCACCTGTAGTCCCAGCTACTCGGGAGGCTGAGGCAGGAGAATTGCTTGAACCCAGGAAGCAGAGGTTGCGGTGAGCCGAGATCAGGCCATTGCACTCCAGTCTGGGTAACAAGAGCGAAAGTCCACTCAAAAAACAGAACAAACAAAACACCATCAGGTCTCTCACACTCTCTCTGGCTCTCTTCTCTCTTTCTCTCAGCCAGGCTTCCTTTACACAGCTGGCAGCAAGGCTGCAAGCAGGTGCCAGGCTCCACCTTCCAGCGTAGCTCTGGAGAAAGCTCTATCAATCTCTCCTTCACTTTTGATCCTCTTGGTCCACAGCCCAGAGCAGCAAAGAGCTCTGAAGGACCAGGTTGGGCCAGATGCCCAGCTCTAGGTCATTCCTGTGGCTATGGGGTAAGGTCTATATACCTTGGAACCTGGGAAAGGTAAGCAGGAACCAAACAATTAAAATAAGATCACTCTCAGCTGCGTGGCTTTTCTGCAGGACTCAAGGACGACAATCTCTGATTGAGGTCACATTAAACACCTACTATGGGCTGAGCAGGTGCTGGGTCCTTTATGTACGTTTAAACTTCTTATATTTTTTTGTTTTGTTTTTATTTTTGTAGAGATGCAGGCTGAGTGTAACAATAGTGGCACATTCCCCAAATTTGGAGGAGTTAGGTAACTTGCTCTTGGTCACACGGTGGATAAATGACAGAGTAAGACCAGGTCCCAGGTGGACAGATCCCAAGATGACTGCTGTGTTCAGTGTAGCATCACCAGATTTCATGTGCAGGCACAGGAATAGGCTCCTGGACTCTCCTGCCTGAGCTCATGAACACGCAGTGGGCGCAGGCAATGCAGATGGTCCAGAGGAGCCAGTATCTGTCTCATTGACCTAGAGAGCCAAGACTGGGATTGGAATAGCTCAGTGGTTCTCAGATAGCCCACCAGGAGAAATATTTCCCCCAGAGGGCATTTGGCATTGCCTGAAGACATTTTTGGGTGCCACACTAGGGTGGGGGTGCTACTGGCATCTAATGGGTAGAGGCCAGAAATGCTGCTAAACATTCTTTTTTTTTTTTTAAGAGACGGGATTTCACCATATTGGTCAGGCTGGTCTTGAACTCTTGACCTCAGGTGATCCACCCGCCTCGGCCTCCTAAAGTGCTGGGATTACAGGTGTGAGCCACCACCCAGCTGCTCTATAGAATGTTTATTCTATAGAGCATGGGGGAAAACCTACAGGACAACACAACAAGGGATTATCCAACCCCAAATGTTAACAGTCCTGAGGCTGAAGAATCCTAGGTAGCTGGAACAGGCAGTGAGGCACTGCTGTGATGTTCCCACTCTCAACTGCAGGGACTTGGAAAATCACTGTGGGAAAAGAATGCATCAGTCCAGGCTTGGTGCTAATCCCTGCACTTTGGGAGGCTGAGGCAGGAGGCTCGCTTGAGCCCTGGAGTTTGAGATCAGCTTAGGCAATATAGGGAAACCCCCATCTCCACAAAAATTTAAAAATTAGCCAGACATGGTGGCACATGCCTGTGGTCCCAGCTACTTAAGAGGCCGAGGTGAGAGGATCGCCTGCTCTAGGAGGTCTAGGCTGCAGTGAACCGTGATCACACCACAGCACTCTAGCCTGGGCAACAGAGCGAGACCTTGTCTCAGAAAAAGAGAAAATGCATCAAACGCAGGTGACCACTGGTTCTCTCTTTTTAGGGTCTTAAAGGAACAATGGATTCGAGCTAAGTATGAGAGACGGGAATTTATGGCTGATGGGGAAACCATCTCACTACCAGGTAAAGTTATTTCCATCATCTTTTGAAATCTGTGTTCTAATGAGCTCTAGAAAAACCAAGTGCCTGCATATTAGGAGCAAGATCCGTCCAAGAGATGACTGCTGTTCTCACTCTGACTACAGAGGCCAAGGTGTGGGTTCTTCTGACTGAAATAACAGCATATCAGCTGGTGGGTCTTTATGCTGTGAGCAGCAGAGAAGCATATTTGTCTCAGGTCTTTTAAGGGTCACAAGCACGTATAGACTCTTTTCTTCTGAGACAGGTCTCACTCTGTTGTCCAGCCTGGAGTGCAGTGGCACAGTCACAGCTCACTATGGCCTCAATCTCCTGGGCTCACGTGATCCTCCACCTCAGCCTCCCAAGTAGCTGGGAATACAGGCACATGCCACCACACCTGATTAATTTTTGTGTTTTTATTTTGTAGAGATGGGGTTTCCCCGTGTTGCCCAGGGTGGTCTCGAACTCCTGAGCTCAAACAATTCTCCTGCTTTGGCCTCCCAAAGTGTTGAGTTTACAGGTGTGAGCTATTGTGCACAGCAAGACTTTTTTTTTTTTTGAGAAAGAGTCTCGGGCCGGGTGTGGTGGCTCACACCTGTAATCCCAGCACTTTGGGAGGCCGAGGCGGGCAGATCACCTGAGGTTGGGAGTTTGAGTTCGAGACAGAGTCTCGCTACATCACCCAAGCTGGAGTGCAGTGGTATGATCTTGGCTCATTGCAACCTCCGCCTCCTGGAGTAGTGGGGATTACAGGTGCATGCCACCACGCCGGGTTAATTTTTTGTATTTATAGTAGAGACAGGGTTTCACCGTGTTCCCCAGGCTGGTCTCAAACTCCTGAGCTCAGGCAATCCACCCACTTCGGCCTCCCAAAGTGTTAGGATTACAGGCGTGAGCCACCGTGCCTGGCCAGCCAGACTCTTAATATAAATTGCAGGAAGATTCCTCCACTGGGCAGATCAATTAGGAAAAGATATCCCTGGCCAGGCTTGATGGCTCACATCTGTACTCCCAGAACAGAACTTTGGGAGGCCAAGGCAGGCATTTCACGGGGTCAGGAGTTAGACCAGCCTGACCAACATAGTGAAACCCAGTCTCTACTAATAATACAAAAATTAGCCGGGTGTGGTGGTGCACACCTATAATTCCAGCTACTCAGGAGGCTGAGGTAGAAGAATCACTTGAACCCAGGAGGCGGAGGTTTCAGTGAGCCGAGACCACACCACTGCATTCCTGCCTGGTGACAAAAGCGAGTTTTTATAATCCCCCCCAAAAAAGATATCCCTGTTCCTGGTGAACGTAGTTCCTGGTGCAGTTCAAGTGAGGAGCATGGGCATAAATTCAACCTTCCTTTTGACCCTTGTGCGGGGTACAACCTCTTCTGTGGCCCTGGACCTGTGGCAGTTTCACCCCCACTGTCCTGAGTCCAAGCTGACTCTGACCCAGACAGAAAAGTATAGAAAACCACTCTCAGAGGGCCAGAGGCAGTGCTCAGTTCTCCTGGCTACCAGAAATACAAATTTCTATTCTATTCTGTTCATTTATTTATTGAGTCAGGGTCTTACTCAGTTACCCAGGCTGGAGTGCAGTCACATGATCTCAGCTCACTGCATCCTCCACTACCCAGGTTCAAGTTATTCTCATGCCTCAATCTCCTGAGTAGCTGGGATTACAGGCATGTACCACCATACCTGGCTAATTTTTGTATTTTTAGTAGAGACAGGGTTTCACCATGTCGACCAGGCTGATCTTGAACTCCTGACCCCAAGTGATCCGTCGGCCTTGGCCTCCCAAAGTGTTGAGATTGTAGGCGTGAGCCGTTGCACCTGGCCCATAAGTTATTCCTCAAACGAGCAGATCCCTAGAGGGTGCTCATTATTTCTAAAGTTTCATTAGGTTAATGCTATCATGAAGTTGGGCAGGACCATATGTATTTGGTGAGGTGTCTTTCAGAATCAGTCCAGTTTCTCAGGACTTTGCCTTCTTAAGACATTCTAGGCACTGGGGATGCAGCAGGGAACTAAACAAAACTCTTACTCTTAAGAGTCCTCTTATGAGATGGCCTGACACCACATAAGTCAAGGAAGAAAGGTTGTAGGCAGTAGGAAGTGCCCTGAAGTGAGAAGACATCACAAAATTTGCCCCAGATGAGATCCTTCTGTCCTGCAGCTGAAATAGGGACGTTTGAGTGGAGATATTTCGGCAGCAGATGGGATGCTCATTTCCCCACTTGAGAACCTCTGAGGTTCCTGAGCTGCTTGTGCATCTTAAGGTCACAGGTGTTCACTCTGTCATCCTTGGTGCTTAAGGTAACCGAGAAGGATTCCTGTGGAAGCGAGGAAGGAACAACTCACAGTTTCTGAGAAGGAGGTTTGTACTTCTGGCAAGAGAAGGACTCCTGAAGTACTACACAAAGGAAGAGGTAAGATGCCAGCCAACAAGAGCGGGCCCCTCTGTGGGCACTCTCTCCCCACTAATGTCTTCATTCAGTCAGGAGTGCCTTGTCTTGTGGATAATCTCAGCCCCTGAGAGGCAGACACATTTAGCTACTTTTCCTTGGTTGAACAATCAACCCAGTCCACTAAAAATCATACTTTCTGTCCACCTAGGATCAGTAGACAGGTCCATGTTTAAGCCTTTGATGACCACTTAGTTTTACTTTGTATATTCATTCACTTAAGAAACATTTATTGAGGCTGGGCATGGTGGCTCATGCATGTAATCCCAACACTCTGGGAGGCCAAGGTGAGTGGATCACGAGGTCAGAAGTTTGGGACCAGCCTGGCCAACATGGTGAAACCCTGTCTCTACTAAAAATACAATTAGCTGGGCATGGTGGCAGGTGCCTGTAATCCTAGCTACTTGGAAGGCTGAGGCAAGAGAATCACTTGAACCTGGGAGGTGGAGGTTGCAGTAAGCCAAGACCGTGCGTGCCAGTACTCTCCACCCTGGGCAACAGAGCAAGACTTCGTCTCAAAGAAAAAAAAACATTTATTGAGTACCTACTGTATGCTAGACATTATTCTAGGCACTGGGGATATAGCAGGGAACTAAACAAAACTCTTGTTCCCAGGAGCTTTCAGTTTAGTGAAAGGAAATAGCTCTGTAATCGAAATATCAATATATAATATACCAGCAGGCAATAGTTTTATAAAGTGAAATAGAAGAGGCTGCGCACGGTGGCTCACACCTATAATTCCAGCACTTTAGTAAGAGGCCGAGGCTTGAGTTCAGGAGTTTGAGATCAGCCTGGGCAACATGGTAAAACTCCGTCTCTACAAAAAATACAAAAATTAGCTTGGCCAAGCACATACACCTTTGTATGGTGGCACATGCCTGTAGTCCCAGCTACTAGGGAGTCTGAGGTGAGGGAATTGCTGGAGCACGGGAGGTAGAGGCTGCATTGAGCCGAGATTGTGCCATTGTATCCTAGCTTGGGTGACAGAGTGAGAACCTGTTTCAAAAAAAAAGAAGAAGAAGAAAAGAAAAAAGGAAAGTAAAATAGCAGAGTGAGAAGATAGAGAACAGTGAGAGTATGTCAGGGAATGCTGCCGCAGAATGATCAGGGAAGGCCTCTCGGGTGGCATTTGAGCAGATAACTGAATCAATGTGAGCATTGAGTTATGCAGATATGTAGGGGAAGAGTAGAAGAGAGGGAGGAACAGCATGTGCGGAAGTCCTGAGCACAGGTATGGCCAAACACTTACACCTTTGTATGGATTCAAGAGGCATAATCCCTCTAAGAGGGTGCAGCCCCAAGGCCCCAATATCAAAAATCAGGAGCCTGGTTTGCAGTTGTCAGCCAGGAGCTTTTTATGCAGTGTACAAACTACGTAACCATAAGCTGCAGCCCTGCCCCTGAGCTAGAAGTGTGTTTGGTGGGTATAGGGCATCAAGGAGGGCAGAGCAACTAGTGCAGAGTGAGCAAGGAAAGGGTGGGGGGAGATGAAGTCACATGGTGGAGGGCCTCATAGGTCAGAGCAAGACTTGGGATTTCTTTTGCTAACAGTTTATTGAGATATAATTCACACGCCATCTAATTCACCCATTTAAAGTATACAGTCAATTGGCTTTTAGTATAGTCAGAGAATAGTACAACTATCACCACAATTCATTAAAAAACTTTTTCATAACCCCCAAAAGAAACCCCTTATCCCCTAGCTGTAATTCTCCACCTCACCACCAGCCCTAGGCAACCACCGACCTACTTTCTGTCTCTATGGATTTGCCTATTCCGGTTATTTTTATTTTATTTTATTTTATTTTTTAGAGACAGGGTCTTCCTCTGTTGCCCAGGCTGGAGTGCAGTGGCGCAATCATAGCTCACTGCAACCTTTAATTACTGCCTTAGCGCTCCTCCTGCTCCAGACTCTCAAAGCACTGGGATTATAGATGCATATCACTCCACTCAGCTAATTTTTATTTATTTATTTTTGTAGAGATAGGGTTTTGCTTTGTTCTCAAACTCCTGGCTTCAAGCAATCCTCCACCTCAGCCTCCTAAAGTGCTGGGATTACAGATGTGTGCCACTGCACCAGGCCCACAGCTGTCTTTTTTATTATAACCATCTTCATGGATATGAAGTCGTATCTCATTGTGGTTTTGATTGGTGTTTCCCACATGGCAAATGATTTTGAGCAGCTTTTTAATGTGCTTATTGGCTATTTGTATATCTAATTTATAGAAATGTCTATTCAGGGCCGGGCCCAGTGGCTCATGCCTGTAATCCCATCAATTTGGGAGGCCAAGGCAGGCAGATCACGAGGTCAAGAGATTGAGACCATTCTGGCCAACATGGTGAAACTCCATCTCTACTAAAAATTCAAAAATTAGCTGGCTGTTGTGGCATGTGCCTGTAATTCCAGCTACTTGGGAGGCTGGGGCAGGATTGCTTGAACCAGGGAGTTGGAAATTGCAGTGAGCCGAGATCGCACCACTGCACTCCAGCCTGGCAACAGAGCAAGACTCCGTCTAAAAAAAAAAAAAAAAAAAAAAAAAAAGAAATGTCTATTCAGATCCTTTCCCCACATTTTAATTAGGTTATTTGCCATTTTATTATTAAGTTGTAATAGTTCCTTCTTTTTGAGACGGAGTTTTGCTATTGTTGCCCAAGCTGGAGTGCAATGGTGTGATCTTGTCTCACTGCAACCTTGTCCTCCTGGGTTCAAGCGATTCTCCTGCCTCAGCCTCCTGAGTAGCTGGGATTACAGGCACCCACCACCACGCCCAGCTAATTTTTTGTATTTTTTAGTAGATATGGTGTTTCACCATGTTGGCCAGGCTGATCTTGAACTCCTGATCTCAAGTGATCTGCCTAGCTTGGCCTCCCAAAGTGCTGGGATTATAGGCATGAGCCACTGCGCCTGGCCTAGTTGTAATTGTTCTTTATATATTCTAGAAACAGTTCACTTATACATGTATGATTTGCAAAAATTGGGAGTTTGGAATTTTACTGAGATGGGAAGCAATTGGAGGATTTATTTTTTATTTTTATTTTTTTAGCAATTGGAGGATTTTGAGCAGAGAAGTGTTATTATTTGACTTAAGCTATTTATTTATTTATTGAGATGGAGTTTCACTCTGTTGCTCAGGCTGGAGTGCAATGGTGCAATCTTGGTTTACTGTAACCTCCCTCCAAGTAGGGAGGAAGGAGGCCAGAGTGGAGGCAGAGAAATTAGTCAGGAAGCTGTTGCAATAACCCAAGTGAGAAAGAATGGTTGATCGGACTACTGACCAGGATAGTTAGAAGTGGTCGGATCCTGGATATATTTTGGAAGTAGAGCCAACAGAATTTACTGAAGGGTTGGATGTGGGGTGTGAGAGTAAGAGGAATCAAGGATGATTCCCAGAGTTTTGCTCTACGAAACTAAGGTGGCAAAGACTTAGACCCTAAGGGGATGCTCAAAAGTCCTTTATATTTTGACATGCCTATTAGTCATCCAGTAGAGACATGGGGAAAGAAGCTGGATGTACCTTTCTTGAATTCTAAATCCAGGTGACAGAAGTTGGTTGTATGAGTTTGGAGGCTTGGAGAGAGTTTGGAACTGTAGTCAACAGCATGTAGACTGGTTTAGTAATGGGACTGGCTAGGATCACTTAAGCAGGAAAAAGGTGTTCAGAGACTGAGTATTTTGGTTATTTGTTGCTGAGTAACAAACCATCCTAAAACATAATGGCTTAAAATATCACTTTACTATTTCTTACAATCCTATGGGTCAGGAGTTTGAGCAGGCCTCTGCTGTTCCAGTGTAATCCATGTGACATCTGCTGCCGTTAGCTGGCTGGAGACCCAAAGAAGCTTTCACTCACATGTCTGGTTCCTTGGTGTACTCTATATGGCCCCTCTCTCTTCCTCATTCAGGAGTCTAGCTCAGGCTTTCTTGTGGCATGGCGGCTGCTTCCCTAAGCAAAAGCAAATGCTACCAGACCTCTGGAAGGTTAACCAGGAACTGCATTCTGTTGGTCAAAGCAAGTCATGCAACAAGCCGTGATTAAACGGGAGAGGAAATAGATTCTACCTCTTCATGGATAGAGTGTCATGTACACACTGGGAGGGAAAGACTTGGTGAGCACCATCTTTGGAGATCATCTACCCATTGAGCCCTGGGGCATTCCAGTATTTAAAGGACAGAAAGATGAGAAGTTTTCAATAAAGAGAATTTGAAATTGTGGCCAACAAAGTAAGAGAAGGACAAGCTCTGAGGACTTTAGCCTTCACCTTACTCTACTTCCTGTATGTAGAAATTATTTTATATTTCTCCTGTTGCTTTTCTAGGCAGACCAGAGCAATACCAAAAGAAGGTGTGTCTATGGGAAGGAGCAGGGAGGATGAAGAGAAGTGGGCTAAAGATTACAAACATATTGTAAGACAGAAGGAATCAATTCAATATTTGATACTAGAGAGGGGTAACTATACTTAACAAAAATACTCAGGTGACACACCCTAAATATCCTGACTTGATCACTACACATTATATACATGTAGCAAAATTTCACATGTACCCCATAAATTTGTACAAATAATAATAAAAAAGATCTGTCCAGTGTGGCCACATCTGGGACCAAGTGAAAAATGTTAGGGGTTGAAGAATCTTTACCCTGCAAGTTAGAGGAAGAATTTCTTCTCCGTCTTCAATGTAAAGAACTGAAAAATATGACTTTTTCAACATTTTTGCTGAAATGGTACAAAAGGCAGGAAGAGAAAGTGCTACTGTAGCTAGGAAAGGTCCCCAAACCCCAGCAGCTGCTGTGAGTTGGCCTCTCAGACAGGGCCTCATCATTTTGGGAAAAGTTGATCTGTTTTTCAGTCCCACGCCAGTTCAGTCTAGAATAGTCCAGAAATAGAATAGGCTCCCTGTGTTCTTTTTTGTTTATTTCCCAAAGTGGATACTTTGAAATTATAAAGGTAGCTCATTTTTAGCT